TCTGCCGATCGTAGCGAACTACGCGATACTTAGCTGGACCCTCGGCAGTGGAAACCTCCCAACGCATGCCCTGGTACAATGGTCGCGTCAATTTCCCAGTGGATTGTGGTTAAGATTATTCATGGTCAATGTTGAGATACATGGTCATACATGGTACAGTGGTTTATTTATATACCGACCATCACACATTGGTGTGTGCCATGTTCATACAATGTATGATGATACTGTTTTTATAGGCTCCATGGACCCCAAAAATGACCGGTCTGCAAAGATAGGAAAGTCTATTGTTTTTCGAGGTTTTCATGGTTAATACAAGTCTTCTGCAGGTTGCCGAGCCCTTTTCAAAGCACAGGAAGGGTGCCATTGACATCCCTGTTCTCACCAGGATTGGGAATCGCTCCACGCTCCTTTCTTGCTCAACACTCCCCCCAGCTTCCGTTGGTTGGCGGAGCTGAGGAGGAAGCCGCTCCAAAGTCTGTGACAAGAATAGACACCGGTGCAAGTTCCAGGACGCCGTTCATTCAGCCCGGCACAGGGAACTGCCTTTGGAGTCAAGATCATCTTGGAAAGGATCCAGGTGCGAGTAGGTTGGAGGCCATCGTTATTAGGTGCGATTAGACTGGTGATCCGTAAGCCATCAAAAAGTTGGTCGGAAAGGCTGGAAAGCGGAGAGGTGGTGTCGCAGTGCGCCATGCGAAAAGAAAACGATCGTTAATGAGGCGATCGTTGAGCCCCAAAAGCTGCGTTCCGCCGTGGTCGGCTCCTGGGCGGACCACCCTGGGCGTATCGTAAACCCGTCCCATCCGGCCCATCCTCAGGCCGTCTTAGGTCAGGCCGTCTCATCCTGAAGAACGGTGCCAGGTGGGTGTGCAAGCCCTTCAAAGGTTTAGGAAAAGACCTGATTAGAACAACTGAACCAAATCAAGTCTCAGTGAAATAACCTCAACAAACGCCAAATGAGAGCCTTAACGTCTCGTGTCCTGAAGCAACAACAGCAGTTGCAACTCTCAGCACTACTGTAAAGCCAAAGGATTGATGGACCCCTTCGAAGCAAACAAACCCAGGTGAGCACAGGAACCCTAAACCAATGACTCAACCAACAGCGACCCCCTCAATATGAGCATATGAAAGTATAGACATAGACATGCATAGTAACTCAGTACAAAAACACTGAAAGCAAGCACACCAATTCCTTAATTAATGAACTGAAGCCCATGAAGAAAAAACGGGTGGGCTACCTGGAACCGATCGTGGCCCGGAGATATCTGGGGCTTCTGCCTTTCAGTTTCCTTCCCAAGTGCCGCAATTCAGTTTGGAGAAGTGATCCAAGCCACCCATGTCCCATCTCTTGCTGAGATCCGGGCCAGAGCAAGCCACACAAGGTTTTTCGGTACCCACAAGATCCACAAGTTATAACCATCACTCCCTGCTACTGCGCGATCTGTTCTTCCACAGAAGGTGACCCAGTGGAATATGGCCGTGGGAGCTCCCCTATGTTCGCCTGGCTGCAGTTGTTTGTTTTTAGCACACGAACTACGCGGAAATTCGCGTCAGTTTCGCACCTTCTCCGGAGCTTTTGCTTTTGGAACGGCTCGAGCTGGAGCTCCGCCGCCGGCCCTGCCGGAGCGCAGCAGCAAAAATTTCATGCATCGTGGCTCATGGTATCTGGGTGAGCTTCTAGGGTGGAATGTTTAGGGAAAACTCCCAACAATGCGATCAATCTGGGGTCAATCAACAAGATTGAAACATCACATGAAATGAATCCCCATGTCCGTGGGTAACGATTATGGGACCCGGACCCCTATGTTTTGTTATTCTTAGACGTTGCGGCACTCCAATATCTCCCGAATCTCCTTGCGGCTGCGGCTGCGGCTCCGGCCACTCGAGCGGCTGCGGCTGGCGCTGCGACTCACCTGTCCAACCAATCTATACGTCCTTTGATTCTCTGCATCCGCGATCCGCGATGCTGCACATGTCTGGGTGTATCTTTGACACGCAAGAAGAGATTAAGATGTTGGGTCAAAGGCCATCACTACTAGATCTACTAGGTTGGAGGCCATCTCTATTAGGTATCTGTTTTCTTTTATGAATAAAAAAAATGTGAACAGTTTTCAACTCTCAAAGGTGGCAGCCACTTCTCACAGCCCGGTGGCGCTCTGGAAGCCCCGACCTTCCGCCGGCGCCGGCGCCGGCGCTTGCGGCTCCGGCTGCGAGTGCCTGGTGTTCAACACCACGCAGCAAGGCGATCGTTCCAATGAAATGGTCGTCCTACTCGCAGGATGGGCAAGCACCACATGATTTTCTACAGCCTGATCATCAAAGTGTTCATTCACCACGGCCAGTATTTCACTGACCGGCACTCTCAATATCTCTCAATGACTTTTAATGACGTTTATAGTTACTTCAAAAAGCGTGTGTTTTCACGGTTGGTCTTTTGGAGCACCGTTGATCGAACCATCACCAGAATTCCCCCAGTCAGTTCGAACCTCAGATCTGACTCGCCGTTTCGAGGTCTTCTGAGCTTTCGGACTCGCGCTGCTATGGCTACCTGGGAACGTGCTCCGCTCGGATCGGGAGGCTCCAGAGAAGTAAGGCATGTGCTCGACATGAAGGTCACTGGTCACTGGACCCACCCTGCACACCCCCAGATGCTCGAAGCTGGTGGAAGAATTCATCT